AGTGGGAAAAATTTAAATCTTTACACTTTACTCCAATTGGCTCATTCGCTTGCTTAAACTCAACGTTGATTCTGATTCCGCTGAACCGGGTTGGGTGTGAACAAGTATTTGTTGTTAACATTCTTTTTTCATTCGGTTTTTCCAGTTACGAGTCCTTTTTAAAGCTGATCGTTTTGTGTTCATTTTCATTAGTTCTTTTTTCGTAACAGATTTAATATTTAGTATAGAGCTTAGAAAAAATTCGCAGTGTGAGATAGGCAAGAAGTAAGGCATGTAGCAACATCATCACGGCAAAGAGCACTCCTTTAAAAGCAAGGAAGGGCAAAACATTTTAAGTCAAGTGATAGCGATTGCTGTATGAGTCGTACGATTTTTGAATCAAGCACGGGCAACGCCGGGTCATGCTGCTAGTAAGGAATGAATAAACTCCTAAGACACCTGCCTGGGCCAAAAATGCGCATTAAAAAAATTTGGCAGTTAATGGGTTAATATAACTCATTTCCCAATGATTGAATGCATATATAGTGGTTGGAAATTAATGCTTGATTTTACAATAATCTTTTGAATTGTCTTCTAATATTATCTTTATAATTGTTGCACCAAATTATATTACCCATTCCTAATGATTAAAATGTCCATTTTTAATTTTATATCAATCGCCTTTAGAATTTCGTTCTAAAATACGTCAAATATCCTTTGTATATATTGGAAAATAACATTAGCTTGTTCGAAAAATTATGTCCAATTTTAGAATAAGCATTTTAATTATGTTCTAATAGATTAATATAATAGTTACCTAAAAATATATTACTCCTTTCTAATGATTAAAGTATCCTTTTGTTGATTTTATATCAATCTCTTGTCAAAATTTTATCAAATACGTGACGCACCCTCTATATACACGAGAAAATATTATCAGGTTGTTCGGGAAAATAATGTCCGATTTTAGAATAAGCCTTTTTAATTGATCTAATAATATGTCTTTAAAATTTTGTTCTCAAATTGACGCAACCTCTCTATTCAGTGGAAAGTATTATCAGGTTGTTCGGAAAATAATGTCCGATTTAGAATAAGCCTTTTAATTGTTTTTAATATACTGTATGAAATGTCCTTCAAAATTTTGTTCTCAAATGACGCACCCTCTATTCAGTGGAAAATATTATCAGGTTGTTGGGAAAATGTGTCGATTTTAGAATAATTGTTCTAATATATTGTATGAAGATGAAGATGTCAAAATTTTGTTCTCAAATACGTGACGCACCCTCTCTATTCAAAATAATGTCGATTTTAGAATAAGCCTTTTAATTGTTGTCTAATATACTGTATGAAGATGTCCTTCAAAATTTTGTTCTCAAATACGTGACGCACCCTCTCTATTCAGTGGAAAATATTATCAGGTTGTTCGGAAAATAATGTCCGATTTTAGAATAAGCCTTTTAATTGTTTTCTAATATACTGTATGAAGATCTCCTTCAAAATTTTGTTCTCAAATACGTGACGCACCCTCTCTATTCAGTGGAAAATATTATCAGGTTGTTCGGAAAATAATGTCCGATTTTAGAATAAGCCTTTTACTTGTTTTCTATTTGTCTATATAAAAATCTGCTTCAGAATTCTGTTCGCAAATACGTGACGAACGCACTGTATACACTGAAAAACAATGTCCGATTTTAGAATAAGATTTTAGATGAAAAAGGCTACGCATGATGGACATACTACAGAAGGCGCCACTCAAAATTATAGAGTCAGCAGCAGTCCATTGCAGTTTCATCACTGTATTCTGCAAGTCTCATTCCATATATGCTGCAAAGGAAGCTCTTGAAATAAAATGCGTGGGTCAATTCCTGGCAAGTTGGGGGTCACCTGAAACAAATTCACGCCATCAGCACTTTCTTTTACTCTGATTTTGTTTCACCTCCAACCAACTCTTGCAAAGCCAAACGACGATAGGGAATGGATGACGAGAACAGGTGAAACTTGAAGCTTGTTGTCCTGAACCTTTACGTTGGCAGCGAATGTAATCATCAACGCCATCATCATAAATGAAGCGATCAACAAAGAAGAAATTAAATTCTTGGATACGAGATAAAAGGGACGACAGCAAGGTTGAGTCATATATAATTTCCGTTTTTTTGTTATCGACTCAAAAAGTGAAGTTCAATAACATTTGATTCAGTGGTATATTCACCGTTATTTGAAAAGACGTCTTGCCACGTATCCAGCATCTCTTTGATATCTTTTCATTAAAATTCCGCAGATTTGGATGTTGAAGGTATTCGACGAACTCTTCATTCTAGTTTTCATGAGAGAAAAGTTATAAGCTTACGGTAATGTCAGGTGAATTGGCGGCAAATTTAGCCATCGACGCCAGCATCATAAAAATGGGGATCAGCAAAGAAGAATTTAAATTCTTGGATACGAGATAAAACCAATGACGGCGATACGCTATATCTCGTCTGAAAATAGACAGTCTTATGATTTTAAAACTTGTCTTTGTCCAACCATTGTCAAGTTTGCATCTCAAACCGAACGTACTTAGTGTAATCTTTATTCTAACTCCAGGTATTTGTCAAGTTGTAATCGTTTGAATTTAATCAAGACTTGCACATGTTCTGGAGAGTTGCCTCTTTTTCACTGGGAAATGTCTTTGGAACTTTTGTTGAAATGATGGCGTTGAGGACTAAATTTGCCGTAAGCTTTCAGTTTCACCAAAACCTGCTCCAGTCATCAACGCCAGCATGATAAATGAAGCGATCAACAAAGAAGGAATTAAATTCTTACATACGAAATAAAGATAACGAATATTCTCTGCATATATTATTACTGAAGGAACCGAAAAAAATATTAAACAGACATTATTAAACAATATGAAAGGAAGAATCAGTTTTCTATTTTTATTAAGTTAAAATCTCACGCCCATTTAATTACAACGTCGCGGTTTTACTTAGATATTGTACAAGTCCGTATGCAGCACCTAGGGAGGAATAAACTCACAACTCTGTCTGGGAAATGTCTTTGGAACTTTGTTAAAATGAATAGCGTAAGTAATAGAAAGGTTTTAGGGAATTGATGAGGGGAAGAGGTTTTGGTGAAACTGGAAGTTTCTTGTCCTGAACCTACCCATTGGGCACGAATGTAGTCATCAACGCTATCATCATAAAAGAAGCAATCAGCAAAGTAAAAATTAAATTCTTGGACGAAGTCGACGACGTTTCTTTGTCTAAAATTCTTATCGCCATTAACTTTCGAAATGTATCAGAATATTTCATTTTCGGGTTTTTTCCATTTTCTACTGAAATATTAACTTCTAAAACATCTAAATAAGTCTTAGAAGCAAAAAAAAGTCTATAGCTTTAATTTCTAAAAATAAGCAAACACGAGCAACAAAAAATGTATATTTAAAAATAAAAAATAAAAAACAATTTTATAAGATCGCATAAAGAATCAGATCAGATCATGTCTGGTGCTCCTGCTATGTATTTAGAGATTCTTGATAAAATCCAAAGAGGAATCTGGAATGTTTCTCTCCAGAATATATCTTACATATTTATAAGTCTACTATTCATCCATGCTTTGAATATTGCTGCCACATATGGTCCGTTGCTCCTGCTATATATTTAGAGATTCTTGATAAAATCCAAAGAGGAATCTGCAATGTTTCTCCAGAATCTATCTTACATATTTATAAGTCTACCATTCATCCATGCTTTGAATATTGCTGCCACATATGGTCCGGTGCTCCTGCTATATATTTAGAGATTCTTGATAAAATCCAAAGAGGAATCTGCAATGTTTCTCTCAGAATCTATCTTACATATTTATAAGTCTACCATTCATCCATGCTTTGAATATTGCTGCCACATATGGTCCGGTGCTCCTGCTATATATTTAGAGATTCTTGATAAAATCCAAAGAGGAATCTGCAATGTTTCTCTCCAGAATCTATCTTACATATTTATAAGTCTACCATTCATCCATGCTTTGAATATTGCTGCCACATATGGTCCGGTGCTCCTGCTATATATTTAGGGAATCTTGATAAAATCCAAAGAATCAGCAATGTCATTGGTCCTGACCTGGCATCTCGGATTCAGTCTATTTCTCACCTTCGTAACGTTGCTTCCCTTTGCCTTTTCTATAAATACTTTCATGGTAACAGTTCTAATGTTGGTGGCAATTAAAGTCATCAACGCCATCATCATAAAGGAAGCGATCAGAAAAGAAATTAAATTCTTGCATACGAGAGATAAAGCCGTAAACGACGATATATATTTCTACAGAAGTATATTTAAGAGAAATAAGTCAAGGAGGAGACATCAGCAGAACACCGCTTAATGTTAAGTTACTGTTAATCGCCTTAAGCTGAAATCTTTCACAATTGATAAGTTAGGATTGCTGTAATTCAAAGAATAAAGCTTAGTTTATAAAAATTTGAAACTGACATGGACTTATATAGGTTTTTCTTTTGCTTATTTCGTCGCCTACAGTAATGTCCAGACTTTGGATTAGCATCAAGAAACATCAGAGACTCGACATTGCTGGCTGTTACAGTGACTTATGCAAATTTGTTCGAAATGTGAGGGATACTCAAAGATATACCTCAGACCGAATATATAATCTTTGTCCTAACTTTTAATTCAATATCACGAAAACCAAAGCAAATTACATACCATCGTCACCGATCAGACCCCAGGCTACTATCAGTTATGATAAATAGATGCCTCCTTGGTGAGTCACCGTGTGTTGAGAGACGATTGAGCTCCAAACTCACTCCAGACCTCAAATAGAAATCTTATATACGATCCATCGCTAACGATGCTGGAAAAATGGCCGGTTCCCTGTACTGATCCAGTAAGGACCTGACTCCTCGTTCAATCTTCTACCTATTACAAAAGCCAGATCAGGCCTAAAATGGAGTACTGCTGTCATATTTGGACAGGAGCTACCCAGTTCTCAAGTTCCAGTCTAGATAGAGTCCAAAAGCTTCTGCGCGTCCTTAGGGTGATAAACTATTTTCTCTCTCTCTCTCTCTCTCTCTCTCTCTCTCTCTCTCTCTCTCTCTCTCTCTCTCTCTCTCTCTGTCAGAAGGGATATGGCAAGTCTCTCACCGCTTTATCGCTAAATCCCTGGATAGTGCTCAGATGAACTACATTCTTTAGCCCCAACTGGTCTAACCCTCACACCACTTACTCATATATATATATATATGATACATTTTGCCGACGCGTTTCGTCTTCTGACTTTTTCAAGGCAAAAATAAAATCGAAATGTTTTTGTTGTTATAGTTACATTAAAATTCAAAATTAAAAAGATAGACGCTTGTGTCTAAGCCTTTTTTCTGATTAATGTAAATATAGTTAAATTCCAAAAACATTTCGATTTCATTTTTGCCTTGAAAAAGTCGGAAGACGAAACGCGTCGGCAAATTGTATGATTTTTTTCCAATTGTCATTTGATACCAATCTCTCTTGTCCACAGAATTCATCTGGGAATTTAACTATATATATATATATATATATATATATATATATATATATATATATATACGATCCATTGCTAAAGATGTAGGTAAAATGATCGGCTTCCTGTGCCACTCCAGTAAGTACCTGACTCCTTATGCTATCCTCTATCATTACAAGAGCCAGATCAGGCCTAAAATGGAGTACTGCTGTCCTATTTGGGCAGGATGTGTCCAGTCCTTTCTTTCCTGCCTCGATAGAGGCCAAAAGCGTCTCTGCGTCCCTGTGGGTGACTAATTCTTCTCTCCCCCCCCTCCAAGCCCTGTCTCACAGATGAGATGTAGAAAATCCTCTCGCTGCTCTATTTTTATTTCTACAGAAAGTGCTCGAACGAACTGCATTTGTTAGTTCCACCTGTCCGAACCTTCAACGTCCCGGACGACCTATGTCACATACAATGTTGCTTAACTTCTTTAATAATATTATTTTTTATTTCATACGCCCTAACGTCCAATTATCCCTTGCGTCTTAGTCGCTTTATTGCCTTGTTTGGGGTGAAATGATTAAAAAGATCAATTATTCGAACTAAGAACCGCTTGGTAAAGAAATTCGCGTTGCCTTGGCTCAAGACTTAACTCGTTTCCTATCTGACGTCAAATCTTGTAGACTATTATTTTTTTTGTCTTTCATAGGCGATCTTGTTATCTTATATTGCTCTATGTATCTCGTGAAGTAGTTTACTCTCAGTTCTCCCCTGCTCCTCTCGTTTTCAATAAGCTGCATGTTGCAAGTGTCTGTAAGTGGAATATGAAGTTTGCGTAGCACTAACCTTTCGTATTCCAACAATATTTCTTGTTTTATTCTTTCTTTTTCATTCCTCTTCTTTAGCTTCATTTCCTTTTTTATTTTTTCTTCGTACTTTTCTCTCATTCTTTTTTCTTTGCATATTTTTATTTTTTCCTAGCAGGAGAGCCCGGCGTTGCCCGGGGATGTAACAGTAAGAGATCGATCAAGTATCGATCATCATAAAGACTGAAAAATAAAATTGACAAAGATTATTGTTTAAGGTTGACGGACACGCATGTCTTAATTATTTTTTTTTATTTTTTTTTTTTTGTTTTTACGAATTGGTCAAACTCAAACAAAAACATTGTTTTCAATTGTTATGAGTCTCTACCGATTGAATAGAATTTTATTATAAACAATTGTCTTGTAAATGGAATTTTTTAAGCATTCTGAATGTAAAAATAAAGAAAAAAGTGTGCAAGACAATAAGAAACACTACATGCCAAAAAAGTGAAGTTTTGTTTTAAATCGGTTGAAAAATGTAGGAAATCCGATCCCATATATAAACGAACACACACACACAACCTGGGTTTTATAATAAGTATAACTCGATAACTCGATATTAATAAGTATAACTCGATATGAGTTGTCCTCCCTTTCATTAAGGCCTCTTAATCGTGTTTTCAAATTGATTTGCTGCAAAAACAATTGTGTTTTTCCAATTTTTGGCGCTGTTAGAACCACCGCAAGATAATTTTACGCAGTTCTGTGAAGTTTTGTTGAAATCGGTTGAAAAATGTAGGAAATCCGATCCAATATATAAACGAACAGACACACACACACACACACACACACACACACAACCTGCGTTTTATAAGTATGATTTATTTATTTTCTCAAAGTATTCTATATATAGGTTTGCCATTGCTGGTGATAATGGTGAGCCCATTGCTAATCCCTCATCCTGTCGATATATGTCTGATCCCATTCCGAAGTATGTTGTTTGCGTACAGAATGTCAGGATCTCCATCAGGTTTTCTATTTTATATTGGTCCGTTCTCTTAAGGAAGAATTCCGTAGCTAGTCTGTTTTCCTTCTTTTATTTTTTCTTCTTTTACTTCATTCATTCTCTCCTTCCATTTTCTTCCTACTCATTTTCCTTTCTTTTCTTTTTTTAGAACTTTGCATAGAGCAATTTTGGCTCAAAATGTTATGGCCACGTTCCAGCTGCTAGACGTATAAATGTGAATTTAGTGTTTCATTGCGTTTTAAGAACTCTAAGCGAATAATACTCGGAGGATCGCATCACACCCAAAGCATTACTCTTTTTACACTGATTTTAGCGCCGGTTGTGAGGAATTATACTTTACAATGTGGTTTTGCGTTATCGTAGCGTCGAAAAGCATTTTCTTATTGACGAATGCAGCGCACTTTTCGACTGAAAGTTTAAGGACACGTTGCAGCTGCTGGACGTGTAAATATGCATTTAGCTTTTTATTGCGTTTTAAGAATTCTAAGTGAATAATACCCCAACGATCCCACCACAAGAATACCATTACTTTCCTTCCATGGAGCGCAAATTTGTGCATCAGTAGCGGGGATTTATGTTTGCCAATACTTTACCTTGTACATTGAACATTGTTGTATGTAACCCACTTTTCATCGCCTGTTATCATATATTTAAGGAACCGTTAGTCAGGATGATACATTCATCAAGATGATTGGTCGCCCAAAACGGAAACTATATAATGATGGAAAACAAAGGTGCATAGAATTTCAAAGACACTTTTTAAACCATTGCACTCTAAGGTGGCTAATCCGTGTGTGGCCTTACTAAAGCTAATGACGTTAATCCTAGAGTTTGCGATGTGGCCTATGTTGTAGAGCGATCTTTCACGTATCTCATACCTTCAACTCTGAAGTTCCGGCTGCCGGACCTATAAATGTGCATTTAGTGTTTCATTACGTTTTAAGAATTCTAAATGAATAAGGCCCCGATGATCACACCGTATACGCATCTTTACCCTTCTTACCCTGGTTTTGGCGTCGGTTGTGAAGAATTATTCCTCTCAATATGGTTTTGCGTTGTCATGAAGTCGAACGACACTTTTTCTATTGACGAATGCGCCACTCTTTTCTACTATGTACAGACTAAAAGCTTTACAGACATCTACAAAATGTAAAGCGGCCTGTAGATTCTTTGACCTGTCACCCTGAAAATTCCGCCAAACAGTGAGGATTTGTCCAACGGTTGGTCTATCTTTTCGGAAGCCATTTTGATTTTTTTCGGAGCACATTTTCTACTTCCGGCTGCATTCTCTTGAGAAGACTTGAGTTGCAAATTTTTACTGCAATGGCGGTGAATGCAATTCCTCTATAATTGTTTTGCCAAGTCTTGTTCTCCTTTCTTTGACAAAGGAAGTTTTGCAGCCTTCATCCCATCTTTCTATGACTTCTCTATAATTCGGCGTTACATAATTGAAGCAGAATATCGTTGAAATCCTGATTCTTCCCAAACTCCAGAGGAATGTGATCAAGTCCCACTGTTTTCCTATTTTGGGTGTTTTTTTAAAGCCGTTTCAAGTCCTACATCTGTAAAGTTTGCAGGTTTAATGTGAAGAGGAGGTTCAATGATTTGCTCGACCTTTTATTTGTATAGCATCATTTCGGCAGTTACTGTCTCAGGGCGGGCGGGGGTGATACAAAAATGGTGTTCTGAGTTTTTTTTTTAAGGCTTTAGAGAAATCTACAAAATTTAAGACGGCTTGTAGATTCTCTGCTCCGTCACCTTTAAAATTCCGCCAAAAAGGATTTGTCCAACGATTGATCTATCTTTTCGGAAGCCATTTTGATTTTTTTTTCGGATCACCTTTTCTACTTCCGGTTGCATTCTGTTAAGAAGCCTTGAGTTGTATATTTTTGTTGCAATGGCGTTGAGTCCTTTTGACGACCATTAATCTCCTTTCGTTGTGAACGAAAGTATGCATATGAAAGAAGCTCTTAAGATGACGGGGAACAATTTGATCCTAGAGGAGCTATGAAGAAGTCATGCACTTCAGTTAAGAAGAGATTGAGGCCTATGGTGAAAGCAAAGGTCGAGCTCAGTTGAATATAGCCGATGGGAGTAAAACAGAAAGAAAGAAAGAAAGAAAGAAAGAAAGAAAGAAAGAAAGAAAGAAAGAAAGTGTTGTGGTAAACCCTCCTACAGTAGAATGAACTCTTCCTCCTCTCATGAATACTAACTGCGGTACTTTTTAACGGGAGTCGGGTGAGCAGCCGTGACGCTGTTAATCTACCGTTCGGACGTACACCTCTATCTGCTTATTACTAATACGCTTGCTTTGCATATATTCTGTATTTCAATACACTTGTTCAACCTATCTTCGTCTTCCATGTCTTTCCTTCTGGCCCCTAAACAGGTCACAACATAAAGAAAGAAAGAAAAGAAAAAAGGAAGGAAATAAAGAAAGGCAGAAGAAAAAAATAGGTTGGTGTTCGACCAAATTGTTATGGCCACGTTCCAGCTGCTAGACGTATAAATGTGCATTTAATGTTTCTTTGAGTCTCAAAAACTCTCAATGATTAGTACTCCGACTACCCACGTACAAACTTCGTTCTTTCATCGAGCTCAGATTTTTGTGGCCTTATGTCGGACTAGATTAACGTTTTGTTCCGATTGTTATTTTAACCCTAATTCGATCTGTCTGTCTGCTCTATATGACGAGTAAGCCAACTCTTTCTCCGTTCGGGCGCTAGCTATTTGATTCGCGAATTCCTGTGGAGGCGTCGAAGTGTAAAAAGGTGGATAGCGGCCAGACATTTGAGCCTCCCTGGGCTTCTCCGTCATTAGTTAAACTCGGTATCAAAATACAGTCCGTAATGAATGTTTTGTGATGGTCGAACGTTGCCACGGGCGAATTGGTAAATAAACGACAGGTCGGAAATGGATGACGAATGGAACCCGTAAAATATGATTAAGTTAGTCTTAATCAAACACACACACACAGACATATATATATATATATATATATATATATATATATATATATATATATATATATATATGTAAAAGGATCAAGAGAGTTTTGGTATGTATAGAAGAGAGGAGTTTGTGAAGACTGGAATAGGCGAAGGAAAATGAAGAAGAGAAAGAGGGAAAGAGAAAGAAAGATTTAAGATGATCAATGGAACGAATAAAAAAAAAGGAGTGAATGAAATATTAGTAAATGGGGCAGAACGAAAGCGAAGGAAAAATCAGAAAAGAAAGAAAGAAACGATAGAAGAAGAAGAAAAGGAGGTACGAATAAAAGAAAAGAAAATGAAAAAAAATCAGAAGAAAAAAAAAGGAAACGGAAGGAAGAAAAATGACTGAAAGAAAAAAAAGAAGAAAAAAGAATTCGAGAAGGAATAAAAGAAACAAGAAAAAGAAAAAAGAATGAAAGAGAACAAGGAATGAAAAAAGAAAAAGAAACAGAATGAAATAAACAGAAAAAGAATAATGAAAGAAAAGGGAGAATGAAAAAAAGAAAGACTGGAAGAAGAAAAAAGGAATGAAAACAATGAAGATAAAAAATGAAGGAAGACATTATATATATATATCAGAATGAAGAAAAGAATGAACAGAATAAAAAAATGAAAACAAGGAATATGAATGTCGAGTTAGAAAAAGAATAAAGAAAAAATGCAAGAAAAGAAAAAAGAAGAAAAGATAAAAGAAAAGAAATAGAAATGAAAGAAAATGGAAGAAGAAAAAGAATGAGATAAAAGAAGAAAAATAAAAGAATGAAAAACAAAAAATAAAAGAAGAAAAACAGTTAAAATGGTAAATGAAAAAGTAAAAAATAAAACGAAATAAAATAAAGAATAAATAAAAGAAAAAAGGAGAAGAAGAAAAGAAAAGAAAAGTGGAGAAAAAAAAGAAAAAGAAGAAATGAAAGCAAGGAGAAGAATGATAAATAATAAAGTAAATAAAAAAAGAATAAAAATACAAAAAGAAAAAAGAAAAGAAAAAATAGAAAAGTACGAATAAAAAGAATAAAAAATAATGGAGCTCTATCAAGTCGTGAACAACAGTCCTGCGATTCAACCATAAAAATTGATGTACGATATCTTGTCATTTAACTTCAGCTCGAACCCTGAACACTGGCATCGCTTCGAAGTCTCTGTCGAAGGTTTTAACTCATCTACATTTAAAATCTTGTGCCTATTATATTGTAATCACCATCAGTGGTTGCATATTTATATTTCATATCATGATAGATATGTACAGAGATAGATAGATAGATAGATAGATAGATAGATATGAACAGACTGGGATAGATAGATAGATAGATAGATAGATAGATAGATAGATATGAACAGACCATAGATAGATAGATAGATAGATAGATAGATAGATAGATAGATATGAACAGACCATAGATAGATAGATAGATAGATAGAGTCTGGTTAGCAAGGTCGTATTACTGATATGATCGTTCGAGAAAAATCATGGGAAATTTATTGTTTAATAACAGTAATTCGACATTGCTAAGCAGATGCTTCCTCTGTAACTAAATGGTATAGCACGACATATAGATAGATAGATAGATAGATAGATATGAACAGACTGAGATAGATAGATAGATAATGAACACAGTGTGATAGATTTTTGAGTACAAGAAAGCAGAGCTTTCTCAATCAAGGATGTTGTAGCTTTTCGAGTACATGATGATTTATCTTTTTGCGTACAAAATGCATGATTTCGTTGATTTTTGAGTACAAGACAGCGTTGTATTTTGAGTATAAGACGGCATTGCATTTTGAATAAAAGACGCCTTTTTTTTTGAGTGCAAGATGGCGTAGCGTTTGAATACAAAATGGCCTAGGTTTTTAAGCACATTGGGATTCAGCTTTTTGAGTACAAGATGACATTTTTTTTTTCGAATATAAGATGGCGTAGCATTATAAGTACACGATGTCGTCGCTTTTAGATTTCAAGATGACATAGTTTTTTTTACAGTTCATTTTATACAAGGCGACTCGACTTCGAGTGTTACAGAGTAAGAGGCACAGTTTTTGCGGATATGTGGGGAAGATAACAGTTAACCCTAGACTTGAACAGATTAACATTTTACTGATCGGGGAAGCATCCTCTTGGGAGTCGGTTCTGCAGAGCAGTGGTTCGCGGATAGAAGCTGTTCGAGTGGAACTTACTTCTCAGCGATGGAATACAGAGAAAATGTGGATTGTTTGCTACTATGTGAGTGACATGGGGGGGGGGGGTCCTAGCTGGGAAGATTCTCACTGGCGGGACCCAAAAAATGTAGTTCGTCCGAGCACTTTCCATGGAAGTAGCGATCCAGCAGTGAGAGATTCGTTAAAAGATGGAGATGCGCTTTTGGTCTCTATCGGGACTAGAAAGTTAGGACCGGGGACCTCCTGCCCAAATATGACAGCAGTACTCCATTTTAGGCCTGATCTGGCTCTTGTAAAGATAGAGGATAGCATAAGAAGTCAGGTCCTTACTGGATCAGTACAGGGAACCGGCCATTTTTCCTGCATCATTATCGATGAATAGTATGTACGATTTCTATTTGAGGTCTGGGGTGAGTTTGGAGCTCAAAGCAAAGGGCCTCACCGAAGGGACCTAACATTCATCCTGATTGGTAGTAGTTTGGGGTCCGATCGGCGGTGTTGGCTTTAATTTGGTTTTCGAGGCATTGAATGTAACCAGCCAGTTCCTCTTCCCTCACTAGGTGGTTTGTGTTAAGTCGGATGAGAGATCAGCTGCTAATCTCTGATCAGCAAGAATTTTAGAGGTGCGCCCATATTTCATATGTTATTTATAGTCCATAGAGCAGTCACTTGCAAGAAGACGCTGTTCAAGTGGAACTTACTTATTGCCGATGGAATACGCAGGGAATGTGGGTGCTTTGCTACAATGTAAGTGGCATGGCGGTGTTACGGTTTTTTGGGTATATAACACATATAACTAGTGAGCGAGTCAGAATGACTTATTTCCCTTTATAGGCGAGCAATAGAAGGTTGACCAATCAGAAGCCGCCCAACACTGTATTTGTCGTGTATAAAGGCGGCCATCTTGTTTCCTCCTACCGGAAGGACCAAACGCGACCAGGAGAAGGATGAACTACACTCTGCTGTGATATCCACTGCGAACCTGCACTACGCTTTCCTACTGTCTCCGAAATATTCACTGCCAACCTCTGGATTCTATACTCGAGGACGACCGTCATGAGAATGTCTAACAGGCGGGTCCTAGGCCTGAAGTTCAGATATGGCGGAACCAAGGAATGTAGTTCTTCCGAACATTTTTCATAGAAGTAGCAATAGAGCAATGAGAGGCTCGCTACATCCCGCCTGTGTGTGTGTGTGTGTGTGAGAGAGAGAGAGAGAGAGAGGGAGAGAGAGAGTAAAATTATTTTTTTACTTATCAAGACTTGAAAGTGAGGACTGGGTTCCTCCCGTCCAAATATGGCTACCGTACTTCATCTTCGGCCTGATTTTGTTTCTTGTAAAGATAGAGGATAGCATGAGAAGTTAGGTCCTTACTGGAGTGGTACATGCAGCCGATCATTTTTATCTACATCTTTGGCAATGGATTACTTACTCATATATATATATATATATATATATATATATATATATATATATATATATATATAGTGGTGGTGTGAGGTTAAACCAGTTGGGGCTAAAAGATTGTAGTTTCTCTGAGCACTGTCCATGGATTTAGAACGATAAACCAGTGAGAGACTTGCCATATCCAGTCTGAGAGAAAGAGAGAGAGAGAGAAAGAGAGAGAGAGAGAGAGCGGTTGGAGGGTTGAAAATAGTTTATCACCCACAAAGACGCACAGACACTTTTGGACTATTTAGACTGGAAATTGAAGACTGGGAACCTCCTGCCCCAAAATGATACCAGTAGGATTGATCTGGATCTTGTAAAGATAGAGGAGTACACGAGGAGTCAGGTACTTACTGGAGCGTCACAGGGAGCCGACCATTTTTCCTGCATCTTTATCGATGGATCATATGTACGCCTCTTAGGTGAGATCTGCGGTTAAAACCAAATAGTCGCCTTGAGCGACACTTGAGCCTTAAAATCTCTCGTAAATTTATAATTGCAAGACGTAGCTTTTTGAGTAGAAAATCGTGCAGCTTTATAAGTTCACGATAACATATTTTTTCCGAATATAAGATGGTGTAAATTTTTAAGTACACAATGACGTAAGTGTTTGGGATACAAGATGGCGTAGCTTTTTGTGTAACAAGATGGCGTTTTTTTTTTGCGAACAAAATGGCGTAACTTTTTGCGTACAAAATGGCGTAGCTTTTTGCGTACAAAACGGCGTAGTTTTTTGTACGAGGTGATTTAACAAATTGGGATGCAATATGGCCTAGCTTTTCGGGTACAAGAACAAAATTATTCGCTGATTGATTTCACACATCCGTCCTGGGTATGACGATAAACTACATCCGCGCCCTGGGTAAGACAATAAACTACGTCCACTAGCAAGGACTTTGATCAGGAGGTTTTGGGAAGCATGGAACAACTTCTTAATTACTGGTGTTCTCAGGTCCACTCTAACCCAGGGTGGTAGTACCTGTTAGGGTCCCAGCTCTGGACAAATAATTAACCCTCAAACTGCGGTCAAAACACTATGAAAGTGTGAAAATAGGTTTTAATACCAGAAATACATTTTGAAGAAAACCTATTACCAGAAGTAGATTGTTTGAAGGAAAAATTATTACCAGCAATACATTTTCGAAAAAAAAATATTACCAACGATATTACCAGCGATACACTTTGAAGAAAAAATTCCAGAAGTAGATTGTTTGAAGGAAAAATTATTACCAGCAATACATTTTCGAAAAAAAAATATTACCAACGATATTACCAGCGATACACTTTGAAGAAAAATTCTTACCAGAAGTAGATTTATTGAAGGAAAAATTATTACCAGCAATACATTTTCGAAAAAAAAATATTACCAACGATATTACCAGCGATACACTTTGAAGAAAAATTCTTACCAGAAGTAGATTTATTGAAGGAAAATTATTACCAGCAATACATTTTGAAAACAAATATTACCAACGATATTACCAACGATACACTTTGAAGAAAAATTCTTACCAGAAGTAGATTTATTGAAGGAAAAATTATTACCAGCAATACATTTTCGAAAAAAAATATTACCAACGATATTACCAGCGATACACTTTGAAGAAAAATTCTTACCAGAAGTAGATTTATTGAAGGAAAAATTATTACCAGCAATACATTTTCGAAAAACAAATATTACCAACGATATTACCAACGATACACTTTGAAGAAAAATTCTTACCAGAAGTAGATTTATTGAAGGAAAAATTATTACCAGCAATACATTTTCGAAAAAAAAAAAATATTACCAACGATATTACCAACGATACACTTTGAAGAAAAATTCTTACCAGAAGTAGATTTATTGAAGGAAAAATTATTACCAGCAATACATTTTCGAAAAAAAATATTACCAACGATATTACCAACGATATTACCAGAAAAGTTTTTCTTCAAAGTTTATCGTTGGTAATATTTTTTTTTTCGAAAATGTATTGCTGGTAATATTTTTTCCTTCAAAGAACGATACACTTTGAAGAAAAACTCTTACCAGAAGTTGATTTTTTGAAGGAAAAATTATTACCAGCAATACATTTTCGAAAAAAAAATATTACCAACGATAAAAATCTTGTCGTCCTTGGATATCCCATTGAGGTTGATATGCCGTAAAACAAAACAAATCAAACGAAAACCAAACTATTCAGTCATCATCTTTCTTCAGGCCAAAAGAACAAATGGGTGGGGTTATTCAGGAGAATCAGTGCTTTTATACCCACCCGTAATCAGTCACCAGGTCGTTTCACTTGTCACGTAAGCCACATTGGGACGCACAATGCCTGCTTAATTTAAAAGTAGGCATCAAGAGTGTTAGAAATGCGCGTCTCATCTTACAACGCATCAGTTGCAATCTGACTTGCTGGACGATTTGTGCGTTTATCAAATCGAATCGAGGCTGGGTAGGAAGTGATTAAAACGAAAGGAGAACAGATCAAATTAAGGAAAACCGATCAAAAGTAATGGTGTTAATAGAATGAGGACTAAGTGCATTGACAAGGCGAATATGAAACTGATCTTTAGATTGGATTTTAATAAATCGGATATATTGCGACGAAATGTACAGGGAGGCGAAGTAAATCGGTTCTAAGGTCAATAGATACATCCACAGATATTGATACCATTTGTGGAGGAATTTGGAATTGAGTGGTTGGGGAGGGGGTGGCAGAGGGGAATTTCGATAGGTGTTAATTTCCTAACCGAACAGTCTCAGTTTCAAATATATATATATATATATATATATATATATATATATATCGACAAAGGTTGATATGAACGAAGCGAGATAGATAGATAGATAGATAGATATGAATAGATTAAGATAATGAACAGACTGAGATAGATAGATAGATAGATAGATAGATAGATAAGGAAGAAACATAGATAGATAGATAGATAGATAGATAGATAGATAGTGTTGTGTCGGAAACCTACCACCCCTCTTGAAGATGAACTTGTCTGCGTCTGTGAACAAAGACTTTAAATAGTGGCATGTCAGTTGACATGGGGGAGACAGATAGACAGAGAGGGTAAGACCTCCGAGTCTAGCTGTGTCGTGATACAGTCTTTGGGGAGGTAGACAGGGCCTGAACCCGTCTAGGCCAGTTCAAAGGCTATATTTTTGGCCGAGCCTACGGGCTCGGAGATACCCACACTAAACCGGCCTTGTGCCACATTTAATCCTCGTGGGTGGATCGATAAATACTAAGACAGATAGACAGATATGAACTGACTGAGATAGATAGATAGATATGAATAGATAGATAGATAGATAGATAGATAGATAGATAGATAGATAGATAATGAAATCATGCATCTGATTGCTAAGCTGTAAACTTTGCCATTGCTTGTGGGTTGATCGAGGTATCCGACAGGTTTACAGAACTGTTGTCCTTGTCATCCTTTTGTATGGCTCAGAGTCGTGGACTCCATACAGGTACAACATATGCCATCTGAATGTATTCCATAAGTGCTGTCTGTGTGACAATCTGCTAGTCTGTATCGTCTACAGAAGCGAGAGCAAGATCTAAAAGGCTAGCCAATCTAACAGTGATCTCATCTCACACTCTTCACTCTTCCTCCACATGCGGCCTCCTTTGCAAATTACTTTCGGGACTTAAGTGCCACTAAAGATTATCGCACAAGATTCATAACTGAATCAATTGGTTAAGGTGACAGATCCTCATACGTCAAAACCAATGGGAGAGTCCATTATATAAATATATATATATATATATATATATGGTGTGATGTTAAATTGTCGCCATTTTTTTTGTTTTTAAATTCGCGCATGCGTGTTTTTTGTTGCTTTTGATTTTATTGACTGCACAATATAACAGGTTCAATTAGGCACCGTCTGTGCCAAAAAGAGCACAATCACGCAAATCAGTCTGCCAGAAATTTGGAAGTGGCATGCTGTACTGCTTGGCATTACCGCCGGAAGCTCCAATACTCACATTTCAGAGGATTTGTATGTCAATCTGACGATAATGAAGCGGATTCGGAAAGAGTTGGATGAGTCTAATGGTGATTACGAAGGTACGGTATCTCGGAAAACTCAATAATCGTTACGATAAGAAAAGAACTCCCAAATTTGTTGGTGAGTGCCTCAAACTACACACAGGCCTCCATCAAATCCGTGAGGAGGTAGTGTTGTCCTGGGTCAGGAAGATGGCTGTTGGAAGACCCTATGTATGGCAAGATAACTTTTCATCATGCCACAAAAGCAGGAGAACCCAGTCATGGCTGTTAGACAATTTCTCTGACCACATTACCGCTTATATCTGTCCACCTAACTCTCCAGACTGCAACCCCCTTGATTATTATGTGTGGGGCGCAGTTGAGCCAGAAACCATCAAAACTCCTTAAACGCCAAAGATGAACTAAAGGCAAGGATTATGGCAGCATTCGCCAACTTAAACAAAGAGACCGTCCAGATTTGCAGGAGATTCTGAAGTCATCTGGAGGCTGTGGTTAAAGCCAATGGCAATTTCATTGTATTAATTTACTCTTTAGTATTCCAAGATATTTTATGTCTAATTTTGGTAAATATATCTGTGAAAATGAGATGTCAGTGTTATTTTCATTTTTGTATCATTTTGACGACAATTTTTCCATCACACCCAGTAAATAGATAGATAGATAGATAGATAGATAGATAGATAGATAGATAGATAGATAGATAGATATTATGAACAGACTATGATAGATAGATAGAGAGATAGATAGATAGATAGATAGATAATGGACAGATTCAGATAGATAGATAGATAGATAGATAGATAGATAGATAGATAGATAGATATGAGCAACTGAGATAGATAGAAGGATATGAACAGATTCAGATAGATAGATCGATAGATAGATAGATATTATGAACAGACTATGATAGATAGATAGATATGAACAGATTCAGATAGATAGATAGATCGATAGATAGATAGATATTATGAACAGACTATGATAGATAGATAGATAGATAGATAGATAGATAGATAGATAGATAGATAGATAGTATGAACAGACTATGATAGATAGATAGATAGATAGATAGATAGATAGATAGATAGATATGAACAGTTTCAGATAGATGATAGATAGATGGATAGATGAAATAGATAGATAGATAGATAATGGACAGATTGGATGGATAGATAGATAGATAGAAGAAGGATATGAACAGATTCAGATAGATAGATCGATAGATCGATAGATAGATATTATGAACAGACTATGATAGATAGATAGATAGATAGATAGATAGATAGATAATGGACAGATTCAGATAGATAGATAGATAGATAGATAGATAGATAGATATGAGCAACTGAGATAGATAGAAGGATATGAACAGATTAAGATAGATAGATAGATAGATAGATAGATAGATAGATAGATAGATATTATGAACAGACTATGATAGATAGATAGATAGATAGATAGATAGATAGATAGATAGATAGAAGGATATGAACAGATTCAGATAGATAGATAGATAGATAGATAGATAGATAGATAGAATCTTGAAGCCGAGGGAGTGAAAGTAGTTAATATAACAGCGGTGTCAATGGAAAAGGCGTTCTTTTGAAAAACCGTTTTTTAGAGACTCGAAATCCCTCTGTTGTTCAAACATTTTATGGGAAAATTTTATTTAAAATATGGCTCATATACGACACATTTGAAAATGTTTTCGTTAATTATATACGAAAACTAAGTACATTGAATGTAGAGTTGATTCCGCTTTGAAAATAAGGGAGGACATTTCAGTGATTGAATTGTATATATTACTTGCGTTGTGAACAAAGGTGACCATAGATAAATATTAAAAAAAAACTTTTCTGTCTTTCAACATCTTTCTTTTTGCTTACATTTTGTTTCCAGACAATGGGAGCAAAGATACATTGCGAGGAAGAATTTATTTCATTGAAAATGTTTCTCTTTGTCATTACCTCGCGTACCGACACACAGACATTTCTGTTCACATGGTAAAATCTGCCAACAAAGAAAAAGAAATAGTTTCTTTTCACCACATGCCAACAATAAAATTATTCTAATTAAGCCCCTTTCACAGATTATGAGGAGTCCCGTCACCTATTCCGGTCGTAGGGATTTCTCGTATATTAGATCCGGACTAGAGGTGGTATGTTTTGGGCAAGACATAGTGACGGAGATCAATCATCTCCAGGTCCGAATTCAGGGTTTTCGTTCTCCAAGACTATTCGTCAACCAAATCCATAGAATTCAGTCGCTTCTTTGGCGGGGACAGGGAAATTATATATATCCATACCTCTCACGTAAGTGAATATAATGGATTCGACTGGAATTCGAACTCAGCTCTCCGATTCTTCAGCCGAGTCGCTATCCATTACTCCACCATGCTTCCTCAAATAATAGCATGGCACGGCGTTGCCCGTGTTTGATTCAAAAATCGTACGACTCATAAAGCAATCGCTATCACTTGACTTAAAATATTTTTGCCCTTCCTTGCCTTTAAAGGAGTGCCCCTTGCCGTGCTGATGTTGCTACATGCCTTACTTCTTGCCTATCTCACACTGCGAATTTTTTCTAAGCTCTATACTAAATATTAAATCTGTTACGAAAAAAGAACTAATGAAAATGAACACAAAACGATCAGCTTTAAAAAAGGACTCGTAACTGGAAAAACCGAATGAAAAAAGAATGTTAACAACAAATACTTTTTCACACCCAACCCAGTTCTGCGGAATCAGAATCAACGTTGAGTTTAAGCAAGCGAATGAGCCAATTGGAATAAAGTGCCATGAAGATTTAAATTTTTCCCACTTGTGACGAATGCAGCTATCGATTTTTTTTAATGCTAGCATGCTAGTTAACATTCGTGTGAGTCAGCTGTTGACTCTCACGCTGGCAAACAGAATCTTTCTGCCTATTCGTGGCAGTCAGCTATAGGATCTCACTCTGGCCTGTAGAAAATGACAGCAAACTACATGAAAACTGCCGTAGAAGCATGAAAAAATCGATTATTTCAACTATCGATGGGAGTTGGAAAATTCAAAGCCGGTCTTGGCCTTTCACCTAACTTGGAGCATATGCATGTAAATTTTGGTGCAAATCCGTCGAAAATTGCGGCCGTGCATTCGTTACACACACACACACACACACACACACATCCTGCCTTTTCTAGATAGAGATGTGTGTGTGTGTGTGTGTGTGTGTGTGTGTGTGTGTGTGTGTGTGTGTGTAAAGAGAGAGAGAGAAAGAGAGAGGGGGATATAGTGAGTAAGAGAGAGAGATTTAAACAAAACGGACGTCATGTTATACCTTAGGTATCTTTCGACCCACACTTTTTTAAAGGTATACGTTGGCAAGTTTGAACACAAACGAAGACACACTCAGTATAATAAATGAGGGTGGGGGAGTTGGAACGCGATTAAAAACATATATAGAACGAACTAATCTGAGGTTGGAGACGCGGGTTGCGCAGCATGTTCCCGCCATTTTGCGTTCTGGTCGTCTGAGCCAATCTAAAAGAACTACTCAGTCCATGATTCGGCCAAGGACAGTATTTGTTTGACACCCACGCTTGTGCCACCGATTTCGAAGACACTTGGTTCCCATTATTACACAGTGATTGCTCTGTATACCATCTCCGAGTCCTGGAGGCTGTATTTATAGGATTCCATCAGCCGAGCCTGTGCAGACAGAAGGAACATTTTTTTACGTTCCTTACGTTTGATGGAGGGATTGTGAGTGTCCTTTTTCCTTTTTATACTCTTGGGGAACTTGCTATTTTCATACCCGTGTTCAATTTTAATTGTTTGGAATTAAAATTTATCTCTTTAATCGCCTTCCAACTTTCCCTCCTCATCTATCATACTGAGTTTCATTTCTGTGGGTACAAATCACTTTTTATAATGTCTAATGGAGCTGAACATTATTTTTATGTTTAGATGCATTTAAACTGATCAAATTTTATTTCAGAGAACAATAAAATTAAATTTTGTTTGATTAAAACCCTGCTAACATGGAAGTACCCAAGAATCATTTGAGGCACATAATGCTTTATGAGTTCAAGAAAGGAAACTCAGCAGCCGAAATGGCTAGACACATTCACTCAGTTTATGGAGAGGAATGTGTGAATGAAAGAAATTGCAGAAGATGGTTTGCAAAATTCAGAGGTGGAGATTTCACCCTTGAATATGAAGATCGAACCGGACGTCCAGTTGAGTTTGATGAAAAGCTTATTGAAGCAGCCCTTGAAGAAAATCCTGCTTTATCAGTTGAGGAATTGGCAGTGGTTCTCAGTTCAAACCATGCAACTGTTCATCGTCATCTTCAACAACTTGGAAAAGTTTCTAAAATCGGAAAATGGGTGCCTCATGAATTGTCTGAAAACAACCTCAAATCCCGAGTTGACATTTGCTCTTCTCTCCATTCTCGCCAACTTGTTTCTCCTTTTTTGGATAGACTTGTGACTGGCGACGAAAAAAGGATCTTTTATCGAAATGTTAAGCGTCGTAGACAGTGGCTTGGTAAAGGGGAAGGACCCCAGCCACAGCTGAGAAGGGAACTTCATGGGCAAAAGTTTCTTCTTTCAATCTGGTGAGATCGCCAA